ACTGTCCCTGCCTCCCTGGCCTGCTTTCCACCTGATGTTTCTTACAGCCAGGTCTGGAGCACACAGCAGAGCCTGGCTCCAGAGGGAAGAGCTTGGGGCAAAGTTCTTTTCATTTAACTGCTCCGTTCTGACTGCAGTTAGTCTAGGAATCTGATTAGAATTAGGCCCAAACCCCAAACCACGGGCGGGTGGGATTACTAAGAAGATGTGACGCTGCGTTATTTCTTGGATCCTCGCCTATCTCTCAATAAGTGCTCATGAGGAACAAAATGACACGTTCACAAGACCTAGCCCCAGAGGCTCCAGTCTACTGCTGTGGGGGACGGGAGGACCTCACACTGTACTTTGGGTAAATGAGGGGAGGCCGTCCTATCCACTGCCATCCATGGTTTCCAGCAGGAGCCTTCAGAATCTGTCTTCACTCTGCAGAGAACCCCCGAGTGTTGGGGGGGTGGTGGGGGTGGGGTGGGGTCTGCACCCTACACTCACCGGTTAGTCGCCAGGTCACAGGTCTGAGAGTTGAGTTCATCATCTGAGAAAACTGGGACAGTTAGGGTGCTCGGCCACCTTTGTCCCCATCTCCTCTCCCCTCTGGGACTCAAGGGACTCGGTGGGTGTTTGTCAAAGTCTGTTGTTAGGCTGAGGAACAAGGGCAGCACATCATTCATTCAGTCCATTGATGGAGGACCTGCCATATACATGTGAATATCCATTCGTAATTACTAATGCGCATTTTCAAATTTGAATTTACAAGTACAAAGATATGTAAGAACGATTAAGTTCTTGATTGTAACAGAAAACAGTAGCCTTATGTGGAAACAACCTGTTTCCAGTCTTTTTTTCACACACAGTTTCCTAACAAGTCGCTTAGATGGTTGTCTCAAAGGGCCCTCTTTCGTGAGTCTCCTAGAAGTTTTCTCCCGTCAAGGGCAATATGGACAAGCACTAACAGAAATTTCAAAAGGTTCCAAAGTCACAGAAGAGCGGATAGGAAGTTAAGGCTAGAAGATCCCCTATTAACACCATTAACGTAACCCAACAAGATGTATGCTATCCACAGGCTGGGCCATTTCCAATTGGTAATTAGCTCCACACAGACCCAAGCTCTTTACTCTCAACGTATCAACCACATCCTTTGTGTCCTGTCCACTGTACTTGCAGAATACACCATTAGAACAGCGTGTATCAACATTTTTCAGCTACTGACAACTCAGGAAGATCAAAACTACTCGAGGTCAACCTTCTCCCCCAGAACAAATCACTGGATTTAATCGGGAGGATAGTGTACCTTTTGATGATAAGGAGTGTCTCCATTTTTTTACAGCATCTTGTAGATTTCATATAAAATCAGTGGGTGACCTCCTCACACACAGAGCTTCAGTTTATAAGATGATGATTCAATCCACATCTCTAGCTCAGAACTTTCTATCAGGCTCCAGATCCATGGTTCCAAGTGCCTCGCCATCTCAACGGCAGCTCAGATTTGAACTGAGCACACATGCATGCACGTGCGCGCGCGCACACACACACACACACACACACACACACACACTTTTCCTGTCCTTAATCTAAGTTTTAGCAAATTGTATCCGTGCACACTCAGGTTCGCAAGCCAGGCAGTAAAAGAAGCCTTCTTGAGGCACAGAAGGCCAGCTCTGGTTTGTTGGCATTTGGATTATTTGAAGCTGGTGTCACACGCAGCTTTTCTTTAGTTCTTGCATTTCCAGGTTGTCACCCTCTCGTTGGCCCTGCCCCACAGGCTGCCCCCTTCCTTCTGGACCACCTTTCCTCTTCCCCTCACCTGGCTCTGTCTCAAGGTTACACAAAGGCCCTCTGCCCTAACCCAAGGGTCCCACCAGCCTGGTCAACGGAAGTCACCTGACGAACCAAAAGTTTCCCATCCTCTTCCCCAAGACATGCCGACTCAGCAGGACCGAGGTGAGACCTAGTCCGTGTAGATATTATCATAGAATTCCATCTGAGCCCCAGTGCACAGCAGGAGAGACTGGGTTGCTTTGTCAACTCCCTGAAGTTTGGGACCCCTGCTCTACCAGGTAATGATGCTGCCACACGTGTATGTACATAGTGGCTGTCACTACACATGCACACGTGTGCACAATCCCACACACACACTGTGCACAAATGCATGCACGTGCATGCACATATACATACACAGAAACACTGCACAGGCACACATATGCACACATTTTATTTCTGGGGCTTCTGAGCCCAGGTCCTCCCTGACACATCACTTTACGTTGCCTCTAGAAGGAGTGTTCACTGAACAGGTATTCACTGCGCCCTCCTCCCTCCACGCCAGCCCCCATCTCCCTTCTTCAGGTCCTTGTAGCAGGCTCCTTCGCGGTCTTTGGGAATGCAGATCGGAGCCACCAAAGTGCCTCAACACCTTCTTTCACTCGGCCTAATGTTCAGACCTCTCAGCCCAAAAAGCAGTGTTCACCGCGGATCTGAGGCTCACTTTGGCCCCTCCAACTGCCACGTCTCAGCGCCACCCTTCACCACGTGCACATCTTTGTATTTAAATCTTTGTTCCCAGGTGGGATTCCTTTCTTAATCTAGAAGGAAGTCACTAGGTCAAATGTATGAATATTTTGAGGATCACTTTCCTGTAAGGAAACACCAGCTTACATCTCCCCCAGAGTTTATGGGATGGTCCGTTTTGCTGCTTCCTCACTAGGTTTGGAAATAATCATTAAAAAACAAGACGAAAACCCAAACGCCACCGATTCGATTATCTTCTGTTACTGTGTCTTTATTTTCCAAGTCTCTGATTATTGGCACAATTGGGCATTTTTCACATTTATTGCCCGTTTGTCTTCTTTTCTCTGTTCTCTGAATGTTGGACTATTAAGTTTCGTCTTTCTCTACTAAAACCTTTTTCTAACTCAGTGGTCCCAAAGTGTAGTCACTGGACCGGCAGCATCAGCATCACCCAAGAGCTTGTTAAAAGTCTAAATTCTCAGGTGCTACCCAGACCTACTCACCAGAAGCTCTGGGGTAGGGCCCAGCAGTCTGCTTTAATAAGCCACCCAAGACTCCAGACTGCCCTATCCCAGACTGAGTGATAGAGAATTCATCTTGAACCCACGTGCACAACAGGAGGGACCCACCTTGTACGGCACCCATCTAAGCATGAAGGATAAGACCACAGACTCAGGAACTAGCCTGCCTGAGCTTATAGCCCAGCTCCACCAGTTACTAGCTGTGTGATTTTAGACAGATGGCTTAACCTCTCTGAGCCTCGATTTCTTCCATCAAATAGGGACAGAGACAAAATAGGGATAATAATGTGACCTGCATAGATTTATTTAGAGAATTAAAGTTTCCATACATGTTTAAGCACTCAACACAGTTCCTAGCACACACACTTAATAAATGTTAGGTACAGCGACTGTCACTATGACCACTGAAATTATCATAAGCTCATGGGCCTGAGGCCTGGAGGAAAAAAGGTTGGATCTTAAGGAAACTTGGCCATCAGGAAGCAAGAGGTCTCATAATAAATATAAATATAATGCCCCTCCTCTTGTCCCCGCCCCCTAAAAATATGCTTCTCCCTTTTCTTTCTTCTACTGACCCAACCCAGCCTTCTCAAACTTCACAGGCCATTGCTGTCATATCAGTTGCTGACAGAAGAAACGTGAGATGCAGCCAATATCGAGAAAACCTTTTTTTTTTTTTTAAGTTTATTTATTTTGAGAGTGAGAAAGAGAGGGAATGGGGGAGGGCCCAGGGGAGAGAATCCCAAGCAGGCTCTGCACTGGCAGCACAGAGCCTGACGCAGGGATTAAACTCACAAACCATGAGATCATGACCTGAGCCGAAACCAAGAGTCAGACGCTTAACCATTTAACCACCCGAGCCCCCCAGGTGCTCCAAGAAAAGCTCTTGAACTCATTTTGGGTTTGCCACATATCTCCAATGGTTAAAAATTTTTTAATTTTTATAACATTTTCTCTCTTATAGCAGCCTTCTCATTGAAGGTTAGTAGGAGTAATTTTTTTATTTTTAAAATTTTTTTAACATTTATTTATTTTTGAGACAGAGAGAGACAGGGCATGAACGGGGGAAGGTCAGAGAGAGGGAGACACAGAATCTGAAACAGGCTCCAGGCTCTGAGCTGTCAGCACAGAGCCCGACGCGGGGCTCGAACTCACGGACCGTGAGATCATGACCTGAGCTAAAGTCAGCCGCTTTACTGACTGAGCCACCCAGGCGCCCCAGGAGTAATTTTTTAAAAAGAGGAGTTCCCATCATTAAGTCTGTCAAATACTCATAAGACTCATAGATGCATGAGCTTATGCTACCGTGGGTTATACATCTTCATGGTGAGAAGTCACATACAGAGTTTCCCAGAGGTTTTGACTCTGCTGCCCCTTTGTAAAGGAATATCTCAGAGGGTCAGTGTTCCAACTTTGGGAGATGCTGTCTTACAGGAAAAGGAAAAGGGATCCCAGGATTGGGGTGACTTGTTGGTGAATGGGTTAAAGGAAAACCCAATGTCGTATAGGAATGTTTTATATAGGAAAGAATAGACGTTGTTTTTGTCTGTAAATAAGTAGCGGGTGGGAGGGTGGGGTGTGTTTTCTGTGTCTCCCAAGAAAGACGGTGAATTTTCAATGCTTTAGAAAAATGAGTTGAATACTCTTTTGCCTCACCATACCCCACATGAGACTCTACTGCGAAGCTTATTTAGTATTTTCCCACAGGCAAGACTTCCCAAGTTGTTCCAAGACCGGGCAATTATTGCAGAGTGAGGAAGCCATGATCTCTTGACACTTCTCTCCTCTCCGTGAATATTTCCAGCTACGGATGTTGGTGGCTTATATCTGCGTCTTTTCACCTTGCCTACTCAAGAAAATTGAAAAATGCTGTCAACCTCACTTCTCTCTTTCTCTCTCCCTCTCTCTCCCCTTTCCCTCTTCCCTTTCCCTCTCCCTCACCCAACCCCACCCCATGTTCCTTGCCTTGCCCTCCAGGAACTTTCTGCATCATATCACTGTGCACCTGTGTGGCTGGAATCAACTTTGAGCTGTCACGCTACCCACGCTACCTGTATGGACTCCCCGATGACATCAGCCATGGATACGGATGGTCCATGTTCTGTGCATGGGGGGGCCTGGGCCTCACACTAATCTCGGGATTCTTCTGTACCTTGGCCCCTTCTGTCCAACCTGTCCCGAGGACCAACTGCCCTAAATCCAGACCCGAGAATGGGACAGTGTGCTAAAAAAACAAACCCATACATATATATATATATATAAATATATATATAATATACATATATAAAACAAAACTAACTCAAGATGATGCCAGTGCCAAGGTAGAGTTGAGTTGGCTCAGGCACCCGCATCTCGTCGGACTTTGTGTTGCCTCATCACCGAGATGGGGAAAGCGTCCCCGTCACGTGGCTCTTCCATCATTTCTTAACGTTTGGCTCCACGGTTTTTTGAAGACAGAGCGAACATCACCACTTGTGATAGCGTCCTGATCCCATCACTCAGGAGGATGGGGTGGTGGGCTGGGAAGGGACAGTGCCAGTGGTCTGAAGCAGCACGGATGTAGAGAAGGAGGTACCATCCATTGGGCCAGCCGTGAGGACACCACCCCAACGCCGATCGTGTTGCAGAGAAACAAAGCCCTTAGTTCATAGAATGTAACCACATCTTTGACGTCATTTGCAGATCACTTCTCCTGATCTTCCTGTTCTGATTCCCTTCCTAGCCCACCAGCAACACACAAGAAGTGGAAGAGAAAACAGACTGAGGAGGAAGTTTTCTCTTTGTTGCCAAACTTTTGGACAAAGTTACAGAGGTGGGAAGGGGGAGAGAACAACGTGCTGAGGGGCAAGATCCACGTCAATAAAAGGACACTTCAGTGGATGCTCAGAAAACCCAGTCTTACCTTCCAGCTGCCTTACATCCAGTTAAACAAGAGGCCGCCCTACCCCCGACCCCACCTGCACTCCCTGGGCAGATTGGAGCCTTGGAGTAATGCTGTGATGTGTGCGTGCGTGTGCGTGCGTGTGTGTGTGCGCGTGTGTGTGTGTGTGTATGTGTGAGACTACTTTTGGTGGTTTCCTTTTTTCCTTTTCACCTTTTAAAATGGAAAGACTTCATTATGACTGTTGTCTCTATCGTTTGTGGTGGTTTCATGGGCCAGGGCAGAGTCCCGAGACCTAGGAGGAATAATGAGGGGCAGGCCAGTGTGGGTGCCCATTCTGTAGTTTCAGATCCCTGGAGTGTGTACGTGTGGTGGGTGTTTTCTGAGTGTGGGGTTTTATTGTTTGTGTTGCATTTTTCTATTATTTGTAGTGCAGCTGAAATTCCCAGAGGGCAGAACTGAGAACAAAATCACTGGGCAGAGGGCCCGGTGGTCCTTCACATCACAGTTCTGGGATGCCACGGGATTTAGTCCTCTAAATCTGGAAGTTCAAGACAAAGCTGGGCACAAAGCCTTGAGAGAAGAGGGGGAACATGGTTCAGGAGGGAGAAGGAACATTGCCTCTGTTGCTGTTGTACAAGTACGTACCAAACCAGATCTTCACTCCCCATCATGGAAGCTGTCCTTTGTCACTGGACATCCACCCCTCTCCTGGGGGCGACCTCTGTACAGATGAAAGAAAATGGGTCACGTGCAGAGAGAGCATCTCCATGCTCCGTGGGCTCAAGTTTGTATGATATTGTGTAAATTAATGGCGAACTCCGGACTCTTTCCATCTTCTTCCTTTCCCTCTTGGTATTCAAGGCCATGCATCCCCAAATAGCCATCTTAGTGGCTAGCCCCCAAACAGAGGTGGCATAAATCCAGCCCGACGTCTCAGGCTCGTTCGAGCACACTGGCCCTGCAGGTGTCGGCGAACTACCATGTCAGCCAGAGTCGTGGAAGCTGTAGGGACAAGAGTCTGCCGGGAAGAGTGGGCAGGAGCAGCTGACAGTCACCTCAGTGACCCTGCTGGGGCCGAGCAGCCCCAGGGTGGCAAGGAGTGAATCCCCGAGCTGTACAGCCATGGGTCAACCATGTAGCTGAGAATTCAGTTGCTTCACAAATAGATATGCTTTGGGCGCTTTGCCAACAGCTCAACAGCCTTCTTTCCCACCCATGTACCTGTTTCATCGACCTGTCTCCTGATCTGTCTTCCCACCAGTCCCCACTTCTCATCTAGTAACCACCTCTCCCTCTTCCATCTGCCAGGCTACGAGTCCTGCCTGTCCCCTCATCTGCTCTTTTTGACTGTGTATGTGTGATTCACATCCAGTTAAGACATCCCATGTGCATGAATGGGCCTGAATGTGGGTCTCTGTATATGTGTAGCTCCCTGGTGCATTTTCTGTGTGTTTTTGTCAGTATGTACCTGGACACGGTTGTGGGTGTGCTACTCAAGGCTTCCTTCCCAGCGACACTGGTCAGCTTCTGCAAAAGGTCTCATGTGCGCGTGCCCCTTGTATGGGTATGCTGAGAGATGAGGGGTGAGGTGTGGAGCAGGAAACGCTATTCTCTTCCAATTGGGCTTCAAAGGATTTTTTTTTTAATAAAGGATTAATTCTATGAGAAGAGAAATCATTTTTGGGAAAGCCCAACTTTTCTATGGTATACAGAATTAAAAATTTCTTTTTCTTGGAAAGCTAGATTTCCCCCTTAAAGTAAAGGCATGCTAGGGCTTGAGGGAAAAGTGAGAAGCATCCCAGATTGAGAGGCTTCGTGTCTTCCTTCCAAGCATCTTGAGTGGGCTCTGCTGAGCAGGGAGAGGCAGGTGTCCACGAGCGTCTGTTTGGAGCAGAGGGCCTGTCTGTGACCAGCTGTTTCCCAGGTGCAGGAAAATGGAGAAAGAAATTCTACAAGGGGCCACTTGCTATCAGTCATTTAAACTTTTCTTGAGTAACTGTGTTTGAGGACACTGCCTCGCTGACCTGTGACTATTTATACCTTCTTTTTTTTTTTATCCCATGCTTGCCATAAATGGATCATCCACTCTTTCCAGCTACTAATCTTTGTGATCGACCCTTAATACAGCTTATTGTGTCCCTTTGAAGCCTTCCTGAAATGTTAAGAGACTCCTAAGAAAGAAGTAAACCACCTGGGCTTAACTTGCCATCAGTAGAACAGAAGCTTTGAGCTACTTCTTTGGTAGCGGGGCCAGATAGGAACAGATACACTCTGAGGTCTGATCCTGCTTGGGGCCAATAAAGCCCCATACAGATGGCAAATCCTTGCCCAGGGGTGGGGGACCGGGGAGGCGGAGGCCAGGGAGGGGCTCAATCCCTCCAGTGTAGCGATCCAAGTTAAGACCCGCCGTCCCCACGCTATTAGTGAGGCTCTGGTGTGGCTGAAGAAGAAGGGAAGGGGGGTGGGGGAAGGAAAAGAAAGCCTCTGCTAACTCCAAATCAAAGTGGAACCCAACCTACTGATGGGATTTAGGGTCGGCAGCTTCATAAAAGTCCAGCCCCGACCCCAGGTGAAGTTCAGATTCCTTACCGGTGTGCATGCAAGGTCTATGACCACGTATGTGTTTTGAGCTCCATGTGAATTAGCCTTAAGCATGGGGCTTTCAGCTTTCATTTCCTTCCTTACCCTATGAGATTGGGGATTCAGACAAGTGAGGTGTCTGCCTGGAAAGAGGTCCTATTTCTTTCTCTCCCCATTTTGGGAGCTTTGGTTTCTTTATGTTTCATTTTCCTCCTTGCTCCCTTCCTCTTTCCTTCTGCATCAACTTAAAATAGTCAATCAAGGGGCGCCTGGGTGGCACAGTCGGTTAAGCGTCCGACTTCAGCCAGGTCACAATCTTGCGGTCCGTGAGTTCGAGTCCCGCGTCGGGCTCTGGGCTGATGGCTCGGAGCCTGGAGCCTGTTTCCGATTCTGTGGCTCCCTCTCTCTCTGCCCCTCCCCCGTTCATGCTCTGTCTCTCTCTGTCCCCAAAATAAATAAACGTTGAAAAAAAATTAAAAAAAAAATAGTCAATCAATTAAAATAGTTAAGGAGTTTGTCTCTGGAGAGGCTCATACTCTTCAAGCAAACCCCTTCCTCATTTGTTGTGGCTGTGGGCTTCAGAAGGAGGTCCGTGGCTTCCCGGCATTGAAATCTAAAACATTTTTAAATGTGCCTATTCCAGCTTCAATCCTCCTGAAACCCTCTGCCTTTCAACAATTTACATCCTTTCAGCTTCAGGGATCACAAAGTCAAGAAGACTCAGCATCACCCAGCCAAGACAAAGCCTTCCTTGTTCACATGTCCGTATGCCACCCTCGGAGCCCATTCTGGCATATTCTCTTGTTGGGGTGTGTGGTTCCACCTAACAGTGCTTGCCTTTCCTTTGGTCAGGGAAGGCGATATCCTGAAATTCTTGAGTATAGGCCCTACCTCTTAACAGTCCTCCACAGTCATGATAAGAGGTGTGAAATGAACCAAGTGTGGTTGTTCTGATTCAACGGGGGATGTGCTGCTTAGGTCCCTAAAGCTGCCTACCTGAGTCAGACTCAAAGTAATGAAATCAAGCCCATCACCCAGAGGCATGGACTCTGTCTTCCCCTGGCTTATTCTGAGAGTGTTAATTGTTTTTTAAGTATCTGAGGGGAAGGAGCGAGAAGAAAATACACTCCGGTCATCTTTGGTGTGGTTTGTGTGGGTCATTTGGTTGATTCTTGCAACTAAAGGGAAGCTGCTTTTCTGAAAGTGTTCCTCCTCCCCCAGGGGCCAACCATCCCAGTGGACAAATCCAGCCCTTTCCAGGGCAATATGATGAATCAAGAGGTGATTTCACCATATTTAGAAGTCATTGGTGCATACCAGCCAGGTTGGCTTCTGTGCTATCTTCTAGCTGGTATCTGGCAGAGTAAGGGGGCAGGTCTTTAAACAAGTCCCCTTGAGCTGATGGACATAAAAGATTCTGGTGTCTCAAAGCAGTCAACTTGGCGGGCTGCGTTTGGACTCTTTCCGTTGATGCTTCCATGGTGCAAAATGTTTCTTAAACATTATTGTTAGTTCTCAGACTACTTTATTATTGGCTATTGGATTATTTTTTCTGAATAATAGAAAATTGTAGAGAATTAGAAAAATAAAGTACCAAAAAGACAAAAGGATTGTTTATAATTTCATCACTCAGAGGCATCATGATGACCCCAGTACCTACACGGTGAGTGGTTGTCTTGGGTTGGCACTTGGGGCTAGGAGTGTAGTCTAAGGCTGCAGAACCACACTGGTCTGCATGGAGTTAACCCGGTGTTCATAGCAGGAGAAGAGCAGGGCTCTGAGCCCCTAAAGATGGCAAAGGGACTTTTGTAAAAGGTCAGTGCCAGAGCTTAGGGATGGGTGGAACAGAGGGAAAAGATTCCTACATTCCTTCCTTTTTTCTTTTTCTTTCCTTCTTCTTCTTCTTCTTTTTTTTTTAAGTGCTATCTCAATCTAATTGTAGGTGTAAGAGCATGGAAGCCAGCGTAACTCACTAATTAAGCTACACTTCTCTAACACAGTTACTGTAAAGTTTCTTTCAGCTCTGCCCTCCAATGATTTGTGACTCTGGGCACTGTGTCTTCTCCATACTTGAACTTCCTCATCCACAAAATGAGGATAGTGATAACACTTTACCTCATGGTATATTAAGGGCGGCAAAGAAATTGCCAAGTGATATGCAGACATGATGTATCATATAAGTTATGTGCTGTTCAAATGATCCTGGAGCAGCAGAACCCTGACTACATGGAGTTCTTCCACGTATGTGGTGCCTGGGCCTTGTTGCTGAAAGGACAATCGCGAGTGGGAGGTCATCTTGGCCACCAAACAGGACCGTCCCTATCCAACTTCAGCACGTGGGATTCTCCTCTTCTATCATTCGGGTCCCTCACGGAGGTTAGCTCCTTAACTTACCCATTCTCAGGCTTCCTTCCTTTTGTCCAAAGCCAGTTTTGCAAAAGGCACTCTTAATCCCTCTCGATTATTCCCAGAGGTGATGGAATGAGCAAACCGTGTGGAGCAAAGAGCATATAACCATTAACCAAGGCACAGGGTCAATGCTTTTCTTTCTTTTTTTTCTTTCCTGCAAACATCATTTGTAGCCGTGCATGCACTGGTGGTGGGAGCAGATCAGGTTCTGAAATGTTTTAATGGTCGTTTAAGATGGGAACAAGTTTCAGAGAACTGGAATCTTCTTTCTCTTGTCAGTTGGTGAAGCAGATGGCTTCATCAAAAGCATATGGGTTCTCATGGGATTGAGAATGGATGGCGCATTCACTGGGAGATGTTCTGTGTGCGATCCTGTTTGGGAAGGACTGAATCCTAGATTCTAAACAAGACTGCACTTCCGAAAGGGTTTGCACGCTTTCTGCTTTGCAGGGGAACTGGCTTCGGTGCTGTAGGGAAGCCTTCTCTAAGGGAAGTCCACAACCTTGCTCACTATAGGGGTAGAGCCCAACCAGCAGTGGGGGGACTACCCAACCATAGGGGGTGTTTGTTCACTATTGAGAGGCAGAAAACCGTAAGCATGGGGGCTGGCCTCACTTTGATGGATGCCAGCTTCAGCAATGACAGCCCTGCCTTTCATTTCCAAGGACTGGGTGTTGGAACTCTGTGTCCCTCTCTCCTGTCTCCCATTACTCCCTCCGGCCAAGCCTTTCCCTTCTTTCCCTGGTTACCTGGAGACCCTTTCGAGCCTGAATGTATCGGTGTGCCTGTGTTGTGGATGTAATGATGCCTTTCACTCACTCATTCTCAGATTCCTTTCCCACTTCCGTCCATGGTTGTGACTGTTTTAGATCCAAGACTTTCTGTAAAAATGTACAAATAAAAGTGGAAACTGAAAATAAGGGGGAGGGAATTGAGATGAAACAAATGCATTGATGTAGCCCTCAGTTTTTGGAGGACTTTATGTAGAGACTGCCCCAAAATCCTGACTCTGGGTGGGATTTGAAGGGAGGAAAGCCGTTGGCACAGAAGGTTTTGTTTTGTTTTGTTTCGTTTTCTGGTTGTTTCTCTGACAGTCACTAGTGTCTGCTTGGGACCCTCTGTTCTAAAAGCTTTTTGCCTTGAAAGTAAAATCTGTTTTCCAGAAAGTAGAAAGCAAGTTATCAAAGTCTGAAGGGTGAAGGTCATCGTGAAGGTCAACACAAAGACCTGATCCTGGGTTTGCCTTCATAGCTTTGTCACTGGCTCACCTGGGGCCTCGGGCGAGTCTCGTTACCTCACTGTCTCTGTGTCCTCTCAAGCAAACCGGGAGCAGAGGCTCCTGGGGAACCGGGTCTCCTTGGCCATGCCGCCGCTATTCTCAGAGGCTTCGAGCCCACGTGGGTTGTCTGCTTCCTGTGTGAAGGCACATTTGGAGAGTTTTCCTCCCCCCTGCTCTCACCCCCCTCACTCCTCCGAAAGTGACCTCAAGCTCACAGCCAGTGTGTGCTCCAGTCCAAAGCCTTCGATCTACCTTTTTGTTCTCAGATGCCTTTTCCCACCCCACTTTGCCTATCTCATTTGACTGTCCTTACTGACAGAGTTTTGGTAGGAGAAGGACATCAGAGGAGATGGTGACTGAAATGGCTTTGCAATCTCTGACTCACTATACAAACATG